GTCGTGTTTGTGTGTCATGTTTTAAAGTTTCGTTTTTCTTCCAAATTTATTTCGATTATACAAGTGGATTGTGCACATACGACGTTGTACTCTTCGTCGTCGTTGTTTTATAACATTTTTCATGTAACATATTGAGAACCGACTTTGTTCTTCGGTATAATGTCACATACGCTTTTATTCGGCAAGCTTAAATGCTAATAGAACCTATATAACTTACCCGATTTTTTAATATTTTTATTTTTATTTTGGTTACATGTACCTTTAAATATTTTGGTGCTTTGCAGGTCCTGGCAATGAACAAACCCGCATACCATTACCACCAGGGGCGGAAATCATAGCCAGTCAACTAAGCGACATAGCGCAGGAAGTTTTTACAGATAACGAAGAAAGGCAAAATTTAGTTGAGGACTTGACACCATTTGGTATAGAAGATGCCAACACCAGTTTTGAGGCTTCCCCACGTGTAGTTATTGAGGAATTTGAAGACAATGTTCTGGGTATACCTAAATCACCCTTAAAAATTCCCACACCGATGCCTTCACCGACTAACTACCACAGGAACTGTCACGACACATTTTGTGCAGTACATGACCACTGGAAAGAGGCATTACCATCTTCGCCTAGTACTATAAGTGGAGTAAGTTCTTTGTCTGAATCAGATACCAGTCCTGTACCGTCTCCAGGGCAAAATAAACGAAAACAGTGTAAAGAATCATGGTCAGACGTCAAACGAAAATGTTTAACCAACCTAGGTAAAAACTACGTGTCGAAGAGGGGTAAAGTTGTTGATGAAAAGGTTATGGGTGAGCCATGTAAATGTCGATTCAAATGTGTCGATAAAATTACTCATGCACAGAGGCTAGATTGCTTTACAAGATTTTAGAGTCTAGGTAACAAGGAAAAACAGTGGGCGTTTGTGGTCAAGTTTATTCTTAAAGTCAAGAAGTATCGATGCCTTAATACAAATCAACCTAATTTGCGCAAATTTACTTACAAGTACAACTTGCCCACACCGTCTACGTCGGACACCTCTGAGAGTGATGTCGCTGTTGTATCTATAACTATGTTTTTGAATACTCTGGACATTAGCGAAAGGACTGTTCAAACAGCTTTTCAAAAGTTCGATGGCGTTTCTGATGTAGGAATAGATAGACGAGGTCACCATTCTAGTCATAAGGTTGTCATTGACAGAGAAATGGTACGAAGTGTTTGTGATCACGTCAATTCATTTGCCCCAATCGAGTCTCATTACATTAGGAAGAGATCGAACAAGCTTTATTTAGACGGTAATCTAAGCATTGGGCGTCTGTTTTTGCTGTACAAAGAATGGTTTGATCCAACAAAATATGTTAAGAGGGCTTCTACTGAGCGGCAATATAGGGATATTGTTTCCAAACACTTTAATTTAGGATTTTAATGTGCCAAAAATAGACGCATGTGACACCTGTCACATTTATAGGAATAAAAATAACTCTACTGAAAACGAGATTGTATTGCATGAAAAACATATTCGCGACAAAAACATAGCTCGTAAATTAAAAAATAACGACAAGGACGCAGCAATTCATTCTAACGGAAAAAGAACAGCAGTTTTTGACTTTCAGAAGGTCCTTTCTTGTCCTCAGGGTCAAATCAGTATATTTTATTATAAAAGAAAATTATCGTGTTTTAACGACCGAACTTACGATTGTCTGGTCGTTGGATCTAGTACTAGAAACTCTTCATCATTACCCAATTTAACACCTATTTCTAACAGTTTGTATAAAATTTCAAAAGACAAATATAATGATCTTATTCATATGTGCCACACTGGAGTAATTATTTCTGAACATAGTAACTATTTCAAATCTCTACCATTTGATAATAATCATGGTACCAATGACAATGATAGTGGTGATGAATGAGTAGATAATTTATACTATTTCCATTCCAATATAATTACTTTTCTTGTATTTCCATTTTCATGTTGGTTTAATGACATTCCAAACGTATTATGATTTGACAATTTTATTCTGACCAAAAATTTCGTTCTGTTTAGGATAAGATCTAAGAATTTTGGATTTTGGCAAATTTAAATTATCTGGCAATTACTTGTACGTACTATTATTTTTTTGCTTATAATTGTGAATAATATTTACGGATGAAAAACGATTAGAAGTTTAGTATTGTTTGTTATTGTTATTTTTGGATTTTTTTTTTATTATTAGTCTAACTGAAGTAAATATCACTATTTACGTTATTTAGGATACAAAACAGTATTTTAACAAGTTGCAAGATAAAAAAAGTAGATTTATGTTTTTATAAAAGTATGTACTATAATTGTGTTGCTTCAAATTACTTATATCTAATGAATAATAATTTAAGACGGTACAGAGAACAAGTGACTACAAATCTAGTGTGTACAATGTGTGGACATTTTTATTTTGTTTTCTTATTTTTAAGTAAATATTTCTTTCTAGATCTTGTTATTTTGAATACGTACTCGAAAGTCTAAAATCACGTTCCTAGATAAAAAAAATATATTTAAGTATACAAAAGTTACTCAAACGAAGTAACTATTGATATTTTGATGCAAAGTTAAAAAATTGTCTCATTGATCTCGACTTTGTTACAGATTGTTTGTTTGTTAGTCTTAAATAGCCTTATAATGACTTGTGATTCAGACTGATTATCTTGTTACTATTGAGACTGATTAACGACATAGTATTAAAATTAAGCCTTTTAGTTAAAAACTAGTTATGTTTCATGATCTCAGAAGTTACCAAATTTAGAGATAATCTTAGCAGTTAGTTATTTATTTGTTTGTGCAATTTCCGTAAAAAAATTGTTGATTATATTTTTTCTTTTAGATAGCGCTTGTACTTAAACAATAAAGATTTCTAAATATATATTTTTTTTCATTTTACCTAGTTTCAATATACGACATCGAATTTCATATGTAATTCCATGGAACAGTGTAACATGTATACATACGTGTAGTACTTTCCGTAGAACAACGTCGCAAAGTCACAACAAACGTTCGAAGTTACGCGGTACAACGTCGGATCATTATAAAAGCAAATTTTTCCATGTATAAATTTTAATTAAAGAATTATAATGTAATTATAACCTTTAGTAAGAGACAAAAAGCTATTACTAAATAAATTTCCATTTAAAGGATTAGGTGAAAAGTTATATTGCAAAATGAGAGTCCCAAACTTTGAAATGCTCTCTTGTAAAGTTGACATTTTGCAGATCCGTCTTTGTTCTACGACAGTGTCGATATGGTAAAATCTAATTAGTCAGAAGAGATTTATTCAATGACGGCCTCGTGTGAAATTTTTGTGATTTTTATAATTATTAATACAAAGATCTCACTCAGAAAAAATTCCTTCGATCCGGCCGGATTCGAACCGACGTCTTCTAGCTTACCGTGGCAGACGCTATACCAACTAAGCCACGGAACGAACCAGCGGACCTCACGAAATTTTCTATGTGCTTGAGTCGTGTCTTTGTATTCGGTTTTTTGTTTTCTTACAGCACGTCATAACTACCAACAGAGAGACACAGCTATTTTCACATTTACAATATTTGTATGTACCTATATATCTACACAATTCTTGTTACTTGAAGTAAATCCGTATAAAATTCAACATAATACTATAAAATTAATTAATATTGACATTTAGACTACTCCATCACTCTCGTATTAAAGTAGTTTTCGCTAGAAGCTAAATATGGTGTCCTCTGGTCGTGGTCTCCTCTCCAAGCTTCCGGCATATAGTCTTCCCGGCCGCCTTTGTGAGTGGATCTCCGGCTTTCTGCGCGAGCGAAGATTGCGTGTCCTTGTTGACGGAGGCACTTCGCGGCTCGTGACAGTTAATGCTGGGGTGCCACAGGGCTCCGTGCTGTCGCCCACGCTGTGCCTTCTGCATATCAATAACTTATTGCCTTTTGGCAACATTCATTGCTATGCAGATGATAGCACAGTGCACGGTTGCTATTATAAGCAATCGTCAAGCAGCCGGGAGGACCCTGAGAGAAACCGGGAAAAACTTGTCGCTGAGCTCAACCATGTTTTGGAACATATATCGTCGTGGGGCTCCCGAAACTTGGTTGAGTTCAACGCCAAGAAAACCCAGGTATGCGCGTTCAGCTCCAAAAAATCCCCATTCCTTTCACTTCCCTATTTTCAGGGTACAACGCTGACGCTGCGGGACAAGCTCAGCCTACTGGGGATGAGCATCCGGAAGGACATGAACAACAAAGAGTATATCGAGAGCGTCATCTGTACCGCGTCGCGCAAGCTTGGCATCCTGAACAAGGTGTACCGATTTTTTACTCCAGAGCTGCGATACCTGTTGTATAAAGCTCAGGTCCGAAGCAGCATGGAGTACTGTTCGCACCTTTGGGACGGCTCTGCCAAGTACTTGCTCGATGCCCTAGACGAACTGCAGCGCTACGCCTTCCGTGTTGTCAACGATACTCATGTAACTGAGCATGCGGAGTCGTTACAGCTTCGCAGAGATATAGCGTCTCTTAGCGTATTCTATCGCCTGTACCACGGTGTGCCACGGTGAGTGCTCTGAAGAGTTATTCAACCTTATCCCTTCCTCTCCTTTCCATCAGCGGACCACCCGTGCCGGACTGCGTTGCCACAGTTGGACGGTCAGTTCAATACCGTCCCGCACTAAAAAGTTTGGCAATTCGTTTTTATGCCGAACCATCAAATTGTGGAACCAACTCCCGGCGCATGTATTCCCTCCCCTCTATAATATCGGGTCCTTCAAACGTAATGTGAAGAAGTATTTGGCCAGACCGGCAAAATGATAGTGACGGAGTGAAGATATTTGTGTTTTCCATCCGTTACTCTCATCTCTGGACTGTATTCGCACTTTCCATCAGGCGCGGTGCAGTCATATTGCCGAGTCACAATAAAAAAAAAATGGTGCATTTTGTTATTTCCAGTAGAAGCTGAATATCGATAATTTTTAGGCCTTTAAATTGTAGTAAACAAAATTAAGCAATACTGCAATGACTTTACAGTTTAAATTAAGTGTTTTAGTTTTTTTAATACTTCTAAATATCGCTAATAGCACCTCCCGTCCTATATGCTCAAATCAAAGGTCAAAATCAATAACAAAAAAGCTTAGCTACCACTTTTTGAGGTGCGGGGGAGTAGTACTACAAGCAAAAAGGTCGCTCAAATGCGAAATTGACTTGTGTCACTATGGTCTCACACAAACAAAAGTCTACAACATTAGCTTATTTTTACAAAAACACAGATAAAACACGCATTCATGTCATGTCGGTACACAGAATAGGCCTTTATAAATAAATCGATTCTCATGAATATACTAGAGACGGAAAGTTATCGATGTGACGGTGTTGATATGTATTACTGGTTAATCAGTGTATATGAAAAATGTAATTCCACTCTTGGCTAGACTGGATGTAGTGAATTTCTTTTTCCAATTTTGTGTGTAGTGTAACAGTGGTATTGTATTACTAGTATTTGCCAGAGGAGATTGCCCATTGACTTACCAATAAATGGATGACAATAAATACAATCTAATAATAACATTGACTTACATGAATAATAAAGTCTAATGCAAAAATCGTGAAAAAATGTCTGGAGTTTTTTTTTCAGTTTTATATACGGCTTTTCGCGGTCAGGGTTGGAGCCAATGACAAGCATGGCCGGAGTTAACATTTACAAACGTAGTGACATGTATAGAAATATTTAAAAAACTAAAACATTTAATTGAAACTGTAAAGTCATTGCAGTATTGCTTAATTTTGTTTGCCACTATTTAAAGGCCTAAAAATTATCCATATTCAGCTTCTACTGGAAATAACAAAATGCACCATATTTAGCTTCTAGTGAAAACTATTTGAACACAAGAGTGATGGAGTAGTCTTAATGTCAATATTAATTAATTTTATAGTATTATGTTGAATTTTATACGAATTCACTTCAAGTAACAAGAGTTGTGTAGATATATAGGTACATACAAATATTGTAAATGTGAAAATAGCTGTGTCTCTCCGTTGGTAGTTATGACGTGCTGTAAGAAATGTATCGATGTTAATTTACATTTTTATTGAATTGATACTCAATTATTTTTTTGTGAAATTACTCCACTAGTTTGTTATAATTATTAATACAAAGATCGAACACTCAGAAAAAACACTCAGAACAAAATCCTTCGATCCGGTCGGATTCGAAACGACGTCTTCTTGCATACCGTGACAGACGTTATACCAACTAAGCCACGGAACGAACCAACGGACCTCACGAATTTTCCTATGTGCTTGCGTCGTGTCTTTGTACTTGGTCTTTCAACGACTTTTTAGTCGTAGCGCCATCTATGAGAAATCTATTCAGATTTATCACGATAAAAAGAGCGCGTCGCTTCTTTATAACGAAAAAAAAACAACGGCCATGAAGTACTGCATTTTTTGTCTGTAGTTGCCTGTTAGTAAATAGGGAACTTCATAGGCATGCTTATGTCAAATGTTCGAATGTTTTCAAATATTTTTTATGTAATCGATAAATTGGATCAATGTGATCATTGTGAAAAAAATATCATAAAATAAAAAATTTGCAATTAATTTAAAAAATAGGCTTATGTATGGAATGTAATTCCATCTTTGGCTAGACTGGATGCAGCAGAGATTTTTTTGCAATTTTGTATAGCGCAAGACGACATGTTTCGTGGAGTACTTGACGCGGTGAAAGCGATAATGGAAATGAAAAAACATCGATTTGAAAGTAGTGTTTATTGTGCGATAGTTGTTTTGTGCTTGTACCTTGACAGAGGGGATTGCCTATCGATGACGCCTCCAGTCCTATATGCTCTAAGGATTCTGAAGCTGATTTGCCTTGTAGCCGAAGCACAATAGAAAAAAACAATCATTTATGGGTGAAATGGTGGATCAAATAGCGCAAACTTTCGAAGCCATAATAAATTCCAAGTGCAGCGATGCAATCGCGCATTTGTATCGATGCAGGCACGCGCTTGTATCGCGTTTGCATCGCTGCTTAAAATCGCGCGTGCGTGTGTACAATTAGCGACTGCATCGCGTTTGCATCGTTGCTAAAAGTCGCTATGTGTAAACGCCCTTAGAATCAATAAATTTGTATTGAGTTTGATAGGCTGTCTAACATAACATCCCAGGAAACGGCTTTGTCTGCTTATCATGAATACATACCGTCAGTTATTCACTATCGGATTGTAGTTTGGGGTAACAGCAGTGCAAAAATTGATTAAATTTATCTAACACAATTAGAAATGTTTATGAGCGATCTGTGGTGTTAGTCCTTTGTATAGCTGCAGGATTGTTTTCCCTAAGCTGGGGGTACAAACTATATTAAGTATGTATATTATCTGAAGTTATGTAAATTTGCGAAACAAAGACTATACGAGCAATAGTAATAAATGCTAGAATTACCTACGTGGAAACCTGATTAAACTAGTGCTAGACTATTGTACTCAGACTACACTATTAAAAAAAATTGTTATTATGATATGGGTGTTAAAATATTCAATAAAATACCGTATAATTTGAAAGCATTGCCGATTAATCAAATGTCTAAAACTAGAGAAATGGCTTTCGGAAAAATTGTTTTTACGACGTCAAAGAATTTTTAGACAATACTTTTAATAAATTTCTTATAACACTGTAGTAATGTTAAGAATTATTTTATTGTGTAATGTAAGTTTTAATTTTTGCATGGCAACGTTTGAAAAGATATGCTGAATTCATTTATTAATATGTTTATGAACTTCTATTTAAAAATGTGTTACGCAAATAAAAGTCATTTAGGTAATTAACAGATTCAGCGGAAGTCCATGTTAATAAAAATGGAAGTAAATTAATTTGCAGGATTTAACCTTCACTGGATTCGCGGAGTAGCAAATTAATTTACTTCCATTTTTATTAAAAGTCACAAAATGGCGTATTTTGTCACTTTATATTAAAGAATTGTTCAATGACTATGTTTATATTTGTACGGAAGAGAGCAGGAAATAATATCCCGAATAAGAGAATCCTGCGAGAGCACTCAGATCTGTTTCATCTGCTCAGGCATATATCTACTTACTTCTTTAAAGACTACAATGATGGAGAAAACGTTAGATGTGTTAACTGCAATGGGGCCCACATAGCTGTGAGTAATAATCGCTCAGTAAAAAGACAAGATTGGTGGAAACCTTATGCTATTGCTGCTTCCAGAACAGTAATTTTAAGCTCTTAAAAACCAACGAAATAAAAAAATGCGTCTTCATTTTTGTTTCTTAATTGTTTAAATATAGGTACATCATAACACATAAGACACATATGAGTTCAGTCCAGATGTTGATTTAGGAAATCTACGAAGGAAGTCACTCTGGCGTATACTGTTGGGAACGATGACTCGCAGGTCAGAGGAGGCGGAGGTCCAAAAGACACGACACCGATCTGTAACACAATTTGTCAATTAGATCAATAATTATTTAAAGAAGAATACAAACGTTAAGAACGGTTACACACAGCGACTTTTGTTTGTGACACGCGCGATTGCGTCGTGACTCTATAATTAGCTATTTATAGGCGGTTGCATCGAAGCAAACGCGCGGCTGCATCGATGTAGTCCTTTATGGTGAATTATTAAAAACGTAGCTCGCGTTTCGCGATTGTATCGCGTTGTACATAACTTACGTTTGTGTAAAAGCAGACGATTAGCGACTGCATCGCTATTGCATCGCGACTGAATCGCTGTAGACGCGCTGCTAAAAGTCGCAGTGTGTAACCGCTCTAAGTGTTTAAAAAAACAATAAAGAGAGATTTTACAAAATAAAAAGTATGTTAATTATTCTGTTCTGCTTCTGGAGATGTGAAATCGATTATATTATCCTAAAAGAAAAGAAAGAGATCTGTTATGTTTTGATATTGAGTAGCTACTGTTCGTGTTTAGTAATGAGTTGTGTTATAAATTGCGTACCAAGACATTCCTGCCATTTAAGGTAATTGAGAGTGGTCCACCGGAATCGCCTCCGCACGCACCGACGCTGCCGACGCCACTGGTACAAATATTGGTTGGCTGTACCAGTGTCGGTATGAACAACGCCTGGCACACTGAGTTCTCCATTACACTCAGACGTACATGTTGAAGGTTCTGGTCTTGTCCGATGCCTCCACCTGGTTCAGAAGATTCGAACATTTTAGTATATAGCACTTTTATATATTATGCATGTTGCAGGATAATATTATGTTGCTATTATAATAATAATCGTCCATTATTATAGTTTTTATTCAATACTCACCGTGCACAGCATAGCATTTCGTAAAACCAGTAGTGATGTGTGATAGTAGCTATATTTAGCTTTCTAAAATTCTAAGGCTAAAATTTTTTCTGTAGCAGTCGTAGCATAGTCGTACTGTACCTAGTTTAAAAAAGTAACTAGGTTCTTACCGGCACTCGTAAGGCCGAAGCCTGAAGCAATAGCGAGCCTTCCGGCGAAGCTATCCTCGATTTCCGACCCGGTCGGTAAGCTGATAGGGGCGATGTTGTCTGAAAACGCATTATTGTGTGATTTATACGAAGGTACATACATGGGTTCAGACGTGACTTTTATCCATAGTATAATAATTTAGTAATTGCAATCCTAGTAAGTATATAAGATTTAAATGTAAATTGATCAATCAATCAATCAATTTGAGCAATAGCATCAAGATATAATCGATAATTTTTTTTAAAGGTTACTTGTAGTAAGTAAGTACTAACTTGATATTGGAACAGAATTTGTAAGGTAGATAACTGCAATATCGTTGCGCGCTAGAGCCGGAAACCAATTTGGGCTCGGCACAACCACACTGGTTTGTAGAGTGACACCATCATTGCCAAAGAGCATCACAGTGCCCAGTCGCACAGTCACTCTCCAGACTTGGTGTAGACCATCCCACCAGCAGTGTGCAGCGGTGACGAGTCGTGAAGCGCTGATCAAAGACGCGCCACACACGCCCATACCATCCAGGCCAACGATGTCAAGTAGCAAGCCAGCCTACAATGTGAATTCATTTTGCATTTCATACGCACCACCATATATCATGTATATACATATATCCTATTAATATATATTATCCTAATACACAGGGTGTAATCGTTAAGTGTGCCCAGGCGATTATACCATAAATATAAGAGATATCAAAAAGCTTTAAACTGATATCGAAAGTACGAAGTGAATCGCCTGGGCGCACTTAACGATTACACTCTATATATTAGTAGGATACATAAATGATAAATATGATGCGTATGATCGTGGGCACATCTAGTAATATATTAAAATGATAATAATAAATAATATGTTAAAATAACCAACATCTGTTGGTTGGCCATTGGGTACACTCACAGTAATGCTTCCCTATATACAATATTACATGTACCTCTATCGGGGATTAAAGAATACAGATTTCTTGATGGGTTAACACGTGGCAGGACCCCGAATAACAAGACACGCTTTAAAATTGACTTATCTTTTTTATTTTGTCAATCGATTTAAATAAAATAAACAATAAATACTATGCAAGCTTGTCTTAATATCACCGGAGATTATATTCAAATTGATTCAGCTATTGCGGAGATTATACAGCAAAACCAAGATACATACAAACCAAGCAGAACTAAAATTCTACAAACTGATATTTTATGTTTAGAAGCGAGTCTTCAGTAGGTAGGAATCATTTAATGAAAATAAGCAGTTTTTGTAGTTATAGTAAGTGGTTTTTAATATTAATGCTAGGTGTTTTCACGTTTGGATGTCGCTTTCCATTTAACATCAGGAGGCGTGGAGTCACCTGCCTGTCGCGTATCAAAAAAAACTGACCTGCCATGGGTACTGTCCTAAAGCAGCGGGGACACCACCAATGATCCTTTGGTTGGCCAGATATTCTTCCTCTACTTTGCGTTTTTCCTCTGTGTATACCAGACTCCTTTCCAAATATCCGTATGCGGAAGTGAGGACATCTTTGGCCTCAATAGAACTGGCTTGGGTGCAAGCAGCAACCACCAAAAGAGTCAAAACTGTCAATTTCATTTTGGCCTCTCGTACAGTTACCAGAAACTACTTTGTTCGGTGGTATTTATACAGATAGATAAGATTGACACAATATCAATCATTAATTAATCATTAAAAATACCCTATCTTGTCAATGAAATGTAATATCATGTTCCTGTGGTAACCAAAAGTTAACAGATAAAACAATTTAATTACATTTTGTTGGAAACGTTCTCATACTAACTCGGCTATAACACATTATAATATAAAAGTAACGGGACTTAATCGCGTAGTATTTATAAATACTACGCGAGTAAGTCCCGTTACTTTTATATTGTAATGCCCTACATATGCCCCGAATGAAGCCACCCTAATAATAATAATAATAATAATCTATTGGGATCGATCTATTATCACGGACAGGACTATTCTTGCGAATAAGCCTGATATTGTGATGTTGGGTCGATCGCAGTCGAGGGTATTTCTTGTGGACGTCACCATCCCGCATGACGAGGGTCTCGTGAAAGCTGAAACCGAGAAACGCCGGAAGTATCTCGACCTGGCGCACGAGATCACCGACATGTGGGATGTAGCCTCCACTGAAATAATCCCAATTGTTTTGTCCGCAAATGGGTTAATTCCAGTCAGCCTTTCTAACAGCTTGAGGCGGTTGGATTTCTGTGGCGTGTCGCTTCCAGCACAAATACAGAAGGCGGTCCTGCTCGATACGGGACAAAGGGCGCCACTGTGCTCTAGTAAACATTTGACTCCGTATATACTAATTTTCAATTTCGTGGAATAAGTGCAGTGCTGGTGTTAATTTATTTAAGTTTACGTTCGTAGTGTTCTTATTAAGCTACACAAGTGTTATCTCGCAAAAAATCGAAAAGGAAGTTTAAAAAATAGCTAAATCAAGTTTGCCTTTTACAACATTAATTATTGCAAAAACACAAATTACTCCGTTTAATCAAAACCACATTCGTGTAAAGAAACATCTTAAGAACTCCGGGACAGCAATCTGCTTAATGTTCGAGGTACGTCTAAAAATTGTTATACTTAATATAACCTAAACAGCTGATCCGATTATAACGACTTCCCAGTTAAAAAAAATAATACTACAAGTGGCGCCATCTATTGTTGAGAAGTGTCATGAAAGTTATTTCGTAGTACGGAATAGTTCCATCTACTCCCGTCAAGATGGCGTTAGTTTGCAATAAATGTAATAAATCAATAAATAATAGAGAGTTCCTTATATGTTCATCTTGCAAAGTGACCCATCATCTAGATTGTTGTAACGTACCATACAAAAGATTCCACTTAATGGAAAAGGAAAAGAAAGCGGCGTGGAAGTGTAACAATTGCATTACAAAACGGAATTCTCTCTGCGAAAATATAGCTCAACGAAATAAGTATAAAACAGCCATATCCACCAAAAATTCGTTTGAGGCTCTATCCAGCTTATCTTCCAGTAATGATGATGAGGACATGGGGGATGACGCTGATGATGACGCAGAACAGGCGTGTTTTATATCAACCAGTGAGCATAATAGGAGTTGTCCAGAAAGAATAATGATTTACGATAAAGCTGAAAAAATGGAAAAAATTATTTTAGAGTTACAAGAAAAATTGCAGATAGCAGACAATGAAATTGTTAATTTGTTATCAGAAAACTATAGCTTACAAGATAAAATCAAATCCCAAGAGAATGTAATTAACAATCTAAAAAGACTAAGTACAACGTCATCGCGAAACAACACAATTAAACATAAAAGAAAGAGCTCAAATAAAATACTAGATCAGAGCTACATTAATCTCAGCGGGAATCAAACAAAATACAATTCATTAGTAATAAACAATAATAAAACTACTACCACGAGCGACACAAAACATAAACACAATCATCAGCAAATGTCTCTTCAAAATCCAATTGGCATGAGCACGCCAGCAAGCCACTCATTGACTTCAAGAAAACGATCACAAAACATAAAAAATGCAGTACCACTACAATCACACCCACCGAAGAAAAGTAGTGTTAGCCCATCCAGAAGTGTACACAAAAAGCCGATAATATACATCTTTGGCGACGAACAAGTGCGGGGACTATCTCTGAGACTGCTTAACTCCAGAAAAGGCCAGTGGAGTGATAAATACGACGTAAGAGCAGTAGTAAAACCCTATGCTTCTAGCTCACATATTGTAATGACTTAACTCACATGACAAATGTTATAACGAAAGAAGATCTTATTGTTTTTTCGGTGGGGTGTAATGATAGAAATCCCTTTACACTACTATCAAACATATGCAACATGTTGAATTTATACAATTCATAAATAACAATATACTATTATTTAATATACGTAATAACAAATATTTGAACACAGCCACCTTAAATTATGACTTAGAAAGATTCACTAAAAATTATATAAATTGTACATTAATTAATATTAAAGATCAAACGTTCTGGAACTCTATTGTATTCAAACTAAATGTAGAGATCGACTTTTTAAATTACAGGAGAGAGTTCATTGAGAGTGGCATTAAATTGCGTAAGTTACACAACTCTAAGCCTTCAGCTAACGTTAGTAATTTTTTTCACCCGTGACGTAGACATTCAGAAACCGACTTGTTATCATCTTTGTCATAATATTCATGAACATTCGACATCTAAAACTCATTCATTCATTCACTCATTCATTTATTATTTTTAATCAGAATATACAAGGTCTTTGTAGTAAATTAGATCTTTTAGAGGTCACTTTTAAGGAATTATATGACGACGGCAATGAGGTTGATATAATATGCTTTAGTGAAATATTTGTAAAAAGAGGTTCGGAAACTAACACAAAACTTAGTAATTATAAATTAGCGGCAAGTTATTGTCGCGAAAACAGTAATGGGGGCGCATGCATTTTAATACAAAGTATTTTAGACTTCAAACCCCTACCTATCGTGTCGAAATTGGCATCGAAACTATACTTTGAATGTTGTGGTGTGGAAATTGTAGGTATTGGTCTCATTGTAGTTAATATATATAGAATTCCGGATCATACAAAAACTTTCGTGGGTTTATTCCTACATAAACTAAACACTTTACTCCACCATCTGTCCGTCAAATTCAAATATAAAAAAATCGTTATTTGCGGTGATTGGAATATCAACATATTACAGGAAAATACAGCTACCAAAGATCTTCAGAGCATTCTTCAAAACTATAACTTTAACATTCACATAAAATCACCAACTAGGTTAAACTTGTGTATCGACTTAATGGCCAGTAACATAAAATTAGTAAAAGCTCTGGCTCTTTCTGACCACGAAACTGCACAAACGTTGACTTTGAGCATAGGGAGGCAAAAAGCTATCACCACTTGGTACGAACAGCGGCGAGACTATAGAATTGAAAATATTCAGAAGTTCTGTGAATGCATTTCAGCTCTTTCCTTTTCCGATATCTTAGGCTTAGACAATGTAATTCAGTCTTTCAACAACTTTTATGATTTAATACGTCTATTTTATGAACTATGTTTTCCAATTATCAGAGTTAAAATTAACAATAGGCCAAAAAAGCTGCTCTGGCTGACAAAAGGAAAAATGCTGCAAAACAAAACGATTACTATAGTTGAAATACAGAGCATCAAATATTAATAAACAGTTAAATACAAATAAATTTAAAATGTATAATAGTATCCTAAGAAAATGTATGTTAAAATCTCAGAAAATCAATAATAATCTTTATATCCACAATAATAAAAACAAATGTAAAGCGACATGGAATACCATTTCATCTACAATTACTAACAATACCTGTAACAATGACATAAAACATATACGACATAACAATATGACATACTCAAACCCAGATGACATTTGTAATATTTTTAACAATTATTTTATAGATTTGACAAATAAAAATAACCTAACCCAACTTAACTTGACTAAAAACTGCATGACATATCCATCTAATTTATTGAATAAAAATTCCCATACAATATTTTTGGAACCGATAAATGAAAAGGAAACTTATAACATAATTATGTCTTTAAAAAACACCAAATCCAGTGGCTATGACGGTATAACAACTAAAATACTTAAAATGTGTGCCTCTTATATCTGTCATCCGCTTGCACATATTATAAATTTATCGTTTAGTGATGGTCTTTTTCCAGAACAGCTAAAAACTTCTGTTGTCAAACCCCTATATAAAAAAGGCGATAAGGAAAGCCCAAGTAACTATAGACCAATTACTTTAATCCCGACTCTATCCAAATTATTTGAAAGGGCTCTGCATTCCAGAATAAATGCATTTTTAGAGAAACATAAAGTAATATATCACTCTCAATTCGGATTTAGAAAAGGTAGTTCTACAACTCATGCATGTTTTGAGTTTTTGCGCATTGTAACGGAAAGTATAAACGTCTCTACTCCTGTAATGTTAGTCTTTCTAGATATGACTAAAGCCTTCGACTTTGTAAATCACTCAATACTCCTTTACAAGCTTGAAGCATACGGCATTAGAGGAACAACCCAAAATTGGATAGCGAGCTACTTAAAAAAATCGGACACAGTATACTGAAAGAAGTAGATTAACAAAAAACAAACACAATAATAGATTAGAAAAACAATTTTTTAGATCACACCTTAAGACGACTAATGCTGGAATACCGCAAGGTAGCGTCTTGGGTCCGTTACTGTTCCTACTCTACATTAACGATCTCGCACATGCTATTGATCATAATTGTTTACAATTTGCTGACGATACAACTCTTATAATAAAATGCCAAAACAAAGCGACTTTTAACACTGACGTAAATAAAGCACTGACAGACGTAATAAGTTGGATGGACATCAATGACTTGAATATTAATATAAGCAAAACCAAAGTTATGACATTTAGATCTTACAACTCAAATCCCATACCGGTTAAAATTAATTACAACTCTGATACTATAGATGAAGTAGACACATTTAACTTTCTTGGGTTAACAATCGACAAGAACCTTAACTGGAAGGAACACATCGAACAGATGTGCATGAACCTAAACAGATTTGTTTACGCTTTACGAAGGCTAAGGCAAACTGTCTCGCGAGAAGCTGCGTTGACGGCCTATCACGGCTACGTTTCGTCCGTGCTCAGCTACGGTCTTGTACTATGGGGTAACTCAGTAATCTTAGAAAGAGCGTTTAAAGTCCAGAAGAAGTGTATTCGAGCAATTTGCGGTGCGTGGTTCGATGAGAGTTGCAAACCGCTGTTTAAAAGGCTGAACATATTACCTTTGCCATGCATGTACATTAGGGATATCTGCGTATTTGTCAACTCTCATCCTCAATATTTTAAAACACGCGGTGAAGTTATTCAAAGGCAAACTAGAGCAAAAATTATGAATCTCTTATACCAACCTCGTTGCCATAAAGTAATTTATAAGAATAACTGCTTCAACATGTGTATAATTATTTACAATAAATTACCAAACGAAATTAAATTGTTACAAGGACATACTTTTAAATTAAAATTGACAAAATGGCTTTTGACACATTGCTTCTATAGTAATAAAGAATACTTAGAATTTACAAATTCATTACATTAATTAGAAACTATAGAGACTAAAGAAACATTGAATCCCATTAATATTTGCACATCTGCTTGCAGTTTGAATACAATGTACGTAATTTTACATAAGACCTTTGTAATTACTGTATTCTGGCAAATAAACATATTCTATTCTATTCTATTCTATTCTATTCTACGGCACGTATTGTTCGCCGATTCTTGGACCTGAGTCCCTGACCTCGGCCGACTGTGCCATTGCCGGGAAATACCGCCTCTCCCATTTAAAAATTCAAAATTAATCTTTTAGGCCTTGGGAGAGGCGAGAGCTTAAAATAAATATTACTACTACCGTTACCGCTGCTGCTGCCGCAGCCGCAGTCACAGCCGCAGCCGCAGCCGCAGCCGCAGCCGCAGCCGCAGCCGCAGCCGCAGCCGCAGCCGCACCCGCAGCCGCAGCCGCAGGCGCAGCCGCAGCCGCAGCCGCAGCCGCAGCCGCAGCCGCAGCCGCAGCCGCAGCCGCAGCCGCAGCCGCAGCCGCAGCC